GTTGGAAATCCAGTGAGCCGTTTACTTTATGTCAATGTCACTTGTAAGTACAAGAAGGCACTTCATTGGTTAATATACATGTAGATATATAACAGCTTTTTCAAAACAAGCCGGTGACTACCGGAGTTCTGTCGCCTACTTGATTGTATATCTCCACTTACTCTGGCTATAGCAATCAGCTTGTGACAGACAAGCTCAGCAGTGCATCTTATCAATAAACCTTTAAGACAGCAGAGTAACTTCACGCTCCATTTTGCAGCAATATATTTTTTTATGCAGTAGGAAATACGCTTGTTAAAGAGAGAGTTTAAAGCGTTCGCTGTATTTTGTGCCCTTCGCATTATTGTGTTTTAGTGGCGATCTTGCAGTTTTAAATAAGTGGCCGGGCTAACTTCATTTTCATGTTGCTTCTAGCATCATGGCAGTGAAACAATCGCAAAAAAATTGATCTTTTTTCTTTTGGCTTCAAAAAGTCATACCTCGCAATAAGGTGAAAAATTCAGCCAATACACACAAGTAATCACTTTATAAGTTGTCAAACTTTGTTACTCGGTTCATTCGACCATATGATTACTTTGTTGACAGACAAGACGGGAGATTACGGCCCACAAAAATACTGATGTTAAAAGACAAAATGGAAAGTCTTGAATTTAACTAGCAAAAGCATTGGAATCTAAAATAATACTGAAACGTGACTGTGTTGTTTCATGGATTTCAAATGAAACTATCCTGGCCTTTTTGAAGTTGATTTAATAATAAAAAAGAATAATTTTTATTTTAAAAAGATAAAAAAATTTGCATACCGATGAAGCAATGTGAAAATTGAAACCTTTAACCAATGTGATGATTTTATCACTTGATTCTTACCAATTTAAGATGATAATCCTAAGCTGGCAATTCCTTATGCATTTCCTAGCTTCTACATTTTATATTTGAAAATTTTCTAGGGGAATGAGGGCATGACCCCAGACCCCCTAGGATGAGGGGCCTTGCCTTACTCTTCCAACTGGAGACACCTACTTCAAAACATTTTGAAGCCCCTGATATAAATCTCAGTGTGTGTATATACAATAACTTAAC